CTAAGCAATACTATTAAATATGTACATATGTGAAATACAGAACTATATCCATGTCAAATATAGAACTATAAGCCTTTCACCTATAAAGAAAAATACAAATGTATACACACAAATACCAAGAGATAATAGTAAATATAAAGAATATATTAAGACCGAAATAGTAAGGGAAAAAGAGTTTTTTTTTTTTTTTTTTACCAACAAATGTTCAATTCTTGTGAAAAAGTGTTTGGTATAAAATAATTCATTTAAAAATTACAGTGATTTGCAGTTAGCAATTATATTACCATATTTGATAATAATTTAGATATTTTATGTGACAGTAATCTCAAATCGCTAAAGTAATAAAATCACTATTTGGAGGGGTGATTTGATTTTTATCTTAAATGATAAAAAATTTTATTACCATGAGAAAGTAATTTTTAATATTATTTTTTAACTAATTTGCTCTTATAACATTAACCTAAGAAGCTGGTCACTAAATATTTTTAAAAAATTATTTTTTAATCATTTATTCTAAAAAAGATTTTATGTTATAAATTTATAATGACTAAAAAAATAATAAATTTGTTTAATAATTCTTCTTAAAATTATTGTTATCAAAATTAAATTATATTTTATAAATTGTTGATTCAATAAATATTAAATTTTTTAAAAAGTTATTTTGAATATTTTGTACTATATAATTTTTTTATACAATATAAAATACAGTAATTTATAATATTATACTAAATATAGTAATTTAATATTACTGTTAATCAAATCATCTTAAAGATTTTATCACTATACTAATTAAATCATAGTGATAATCTTGAAAATAATATTAAATATTATCTAAAAATAAAATATTAAATAAATTAAATCAATATTAAAAATTGATCAAGAAAATCAAGTCCAGAAAGATATGAAATTATCCAGATCATGTTACACAAAAATAAACGACTCTTTACGAGCAAATTTGGGATCAAATTGAAGCTGATCTTACCATGATTTCTCCTAAACAGTAGTTTCACTTTTAAAGCACCTGATGGCACCAATTGTTGATAAGTTTCCCAACAGTTTCACTGCAGACCCCTCAAAAACTCTTGTTTTATAAGTTACCGTGCATCACGTTTTTCTTAGCTTTTAGGGCAAATACGAGACGACAAAGAGAACATGGATTGAACCGATCCTTTATGAAAATTGCTTGTTTGCTTTTAAAGATGTTGCTTTGCTTTATAGCTATTTATAGATTCAGATTGAAATAAGATTCCTAAAATCATATCTGATTTTCTAAAAGTATATATACGAGTTATTAATAAGTGATTGATTTAATTAATTAATATTTATTTTTTTTGATAAAAAATTTTAAATTTAAATTTTATCGATAATTATTTATTAAAATTATTTTAAATATATGATAATCATCTATTTTAAATTATTAGATATAATATATTTTATTTTAACTTGAGAGATTGAATAATTTATTTATCTTAAATTTTATCGTAAAGTTAAAATAAATTATATATGGCTCAAAATGCAAGACACCCATTACAACTTCAACTTTATGTCACATTTATGAAGAATTTTAGCTTTCTGATATACGTGTTCAGCCTGTCCGTTACCACTTTTTGTCATTTCTTTTAATTAAATCTAATTAAGAATTGAATTGTGCATTTAAATTTAAAGATTTATTTAAACTTTAAAAGAATTTAAATAAAAATTTAAAATTTATTAATGATTTAAGTATAATTTTTTAGATTTATTTAAATTTTGAATGAATTTTGAATAAAATATTTAAAATTTAAATTTAGCTTGACCCGAATTACATATATATAAATTTGTTATTTATATATGAATTATTTATAAATTCATTCACGTGTTTATAAAAATTAAAAATAAAAATTATATAAAAATAAATATAAATTTATTAAATTAAATTTAATTATTTTTTAATTTTTTATTATATAAATTAAGTTTACTAAGTTGATTTGATATTTATTTTTTTAATTTAAATCAAGGTTAAAATAATTTTAAAATCTAAAATTTTGAACTAAACTAAACTCAAACAAACATATAAATTATTAATACAAAACATAAATAGGTTTGGTTCCAGCCCCTAAACACCTCTACTTTAATATGCTCATGATTGTATTATGGGAAAAAAATTAAGATCAAATTTATTATTATATTATAATTTAATATTAAAATTTATCATTACATTTTAATTTTATTAAAATTTATTGTTTTATTTTGATTTTATTATTTTGAATAAAAAGGGATAGAATTCGAATATTTTAGGAAATATTCCGTTAATGCAAGTAATATATTTTCATCAATTTTATTATTAATTCATGATATAATGACAAATTTGATCTTAATAAAAAAAAAAAAAAACTTACCCTTGCTAAAATTTATTTAACTATAAGGGTTTTTCTAGTTTTTTTTGCCATGTTGTCAAAATCTTAGACAAAATGGAAATGATACGGCTAATTAATATTTTGATATTTATATAAGGATATATAATTAATAAAATGCAATTTTTAGATAATTTCAAATACATGGTGAAATTGCCATGGACTCAATAATGTGAAGGGAATAAAATTAGAATATACCAGCCAAAACAATCTTGAAGTCAAACAAGATAGATTTAGTTTATCGTATATCGACGTAAGGGACCCACTTAATCATCCTCTTTACTTGAAATGTACGACCATGCAGTGTTGATTTCGCGAATCGTTGTAAGTCAACTGTTTGCTACAGAGGATTTGTACGGTTGCTTAAGCTTGAAGAAACCTTCCGCAATCAGAGTGAAAAAAATATATAATATATATCACTAGGGAATTACTGCAAGTGATTAAATACTATCCCCAAGGCAATGTACCATCCCTTAGTCGTAATCAAAGTTGTGCAATATGATCATGGCTTTGTATAAAGATTTTGAGAAAATATGTGGTGATCTTGGGGGTGGTGGTTGTGATGAAAATGATATATTATGATTATGATGACAATAAAAAAAAAAAAGGTTTGAAAGATTTTTTTCTTTTTTTTTTTTTTTTTCGATGGTGATTGAATCGTAGGGATTGATAGGAATTTGTTTTTTATGTGATTAATGTTAACTAGGGTGGGGAAAGTTACTTCGGAAGATGATATAAAACAAGAACGATACTCTTTTTATCTCTTTATTTTTTTTTGTTCATTTTTTGAGATATTTCAAATTATATATTTTTTAATATCTAAAATTTTTATTATTTTATATTTTAAAATTTTTTATTTTTTTAACAAATTTTGTGAAAATCAATATAAAATAAACAAATTAAGACAAGGAAAATAGTTATTATCAATGTTGTGGCTTGATGGTAAAGGTAGAAGATGTAAATGATGGATGAAAAAGAATACGATTTTAGATTAAAATCTTGGTATTACTCAAATTAAAGTATTGATTTAATATAATTAATTAATTAAAAATACATGTAGCATGACATATCATATGAGAGACGTAATTATTTAAATGTTATATTGCATACAAGATATAATTATGTTAATGCAAGAATTTTAGAACGTATTTATTATAAAATATTATTTGTTTCGAAATTTCGAATGCTTACTCTCACGATTTTATTTTATGAAAAACACAAAATTACGGATCAACCTTTGTTTAATTATTATATAAGGGATTGATTTCCTCTCAACAAAGTTAGATGCTCCAAAGCAAGGTTTTATCTTTGTTATATAGCTTATGTAAATGCAGTGACCTTATCTTGCCTTTCAACCAAGTCATGAACCTTTCGATGTCTATAATGTCGAGTTCAATCAAGTACACATCACAGAGCAAACCTAAACTTCTCAAGATGGACGAGGTTTAAACTCTTATTGAATGCTATGCTTTCTCACTCAAGTTGGAGCTCCAGTTTCCCTTTCCACCACCAGCGTCAACGGGAAGCTTTTGCCGGGTCCAACCCAACTGAGAATTCGACCCTGGCCTGGCCATGGTAGTCCCCCGGCCCGCTTGGGAAATTTCTGGACCCACGCAGTGAATTAGTTCAGAGGTGGAAGCGGGTTCTCTTGGTGGCACGTGGCATTGCCTTGACCATAGAACTTATTTTGTTTTATTTTTAAATTATATAAATTAACGATAAAATAATATAAGATAATATTATAAATAAAATTAATTAAATAATTTTATTTTATTTTATATTTGATTTATATAAAAAATAGAATAAAATAATTTATTTACTTATTAAAATTTTTTATTTATATAATTTAAATTATTGATATAATTTTAAAAATATAATTAAACATATAAATTTAATTTTATGGATTAAAAATAATTTTTTAATTTTAATAAAATTAAATAATCTTATATCAAGAGGATTTAATATTTTTTTTATAAATTTTATTCTATCTTTATATATAATTAAATATAATATAAATAATTATTATCTTATCATATCAATAATTTTATGTATCAAATATAACTTAAATAATTATAAATTTAAACATTCAATTACAATTATTATATTATAATTAATCAATTACAATTAAAAATAATGTATGATTTGTTAAAAAATTTTATGAAATATATATTCATGAATAACATACATTTGCTTAATTTTTTATTATAATAATTAAAAAATTATAATTAAAAAATTGTAAATAAAAATGCATTCTAGTGGACATTAGCTTTATCAAAGATCTATAACACCTAAAAAGATCGTCATTAAAAAGTATCTTTTCTTTTATAAGTTGAAAAGATTGGGTAAAGATAATCAATTGGTAATACTTGGACCTTGTAACCCAAAAAAATATAAGAAAAAAAATAAAAATATGCCAATCAATGAACCAAATTTGATGATATGATTGATCACGTTACTTAAAGAATAATTTTATTCTTGTGATGTATGCATGGGTCAAAATAAAAAATATATATTTTGAATTTTGTAAAAAATTGAAAAAAAAAAAAAAAAGATTGAAGAACCAAATGACAGTAAGCACCATTCCAGCAAGCAATAAAATGTAATTTCAAAAAAAAAAAAAAAACTAAAAATGAGGCGTCGAAGAAATCATAATCAAGGGGACAACAACGTCCTGTCATGTTTAAAGAGGAACAGAAGGCCCTGCCATTTGGATAAAAGTTACGGGCCCCTTTCCCAAATGATTGTTCTACGACGCTTGAATCCTGATTTTTTTTGGCTAACAAACAAATTGTAACCAAATTTTTACTTTTTTTTTTCATGTTTGGCAGACAAATTCCAGAGTCAGAGAAAAAAAGAAAAAAAAAAACAGTGAAAAGCAGAGAGAAAAAGAGAGCTTTGAAACTCTCTTCTTCTCTCTTTGTTATCATCAAATCAGGATACCCACTACTCTGCAAGATCATACCTTCTTTGGGGTCAGTTTTGTTGTAAAGTTCATTGTTGGGTTGTTTCGAAACTGATAATTTTGTTTTTATTTTTGTTTCTTTCTGGGTTTGATGTTATATTATAGTTTACAGTGATTTACTTTCTGGATTCTTTCATTTTATTTTCTTGCATATATCAATTAGTGATTCTACTTGTAGGTGATTTTGGCTCTTGTATATATCAATTGTCAATAGTTGTTTTAGAATGAAATGGGTGGTCCTTAAAAGGATCAAGCTTTTTTTTTTTTTTTGGGCTATTATTTTGGAGGAGGTATATTCATTTTGGTTATCCTTTTTTTTTCTGCTTTTTTTTTTTGTTTAAGATGATTTGTCATTCTCAGGAATTGGGTATATTTATAATCTTTGGTATCTAAGGATTTGATATGAAATGAAGTTGTATGATAACTTATTTTACCTTGTCTTAGCTTGGATAAGTTAAAAATGAACTTGATTGAATCTAGTGTCTATAGCTTGAAAAAAAAAAAAAAGATACACCTGCATCAGGATATGGTTTAGAGTAAACTATACAGTTTAAAACACTACACGGTAACATGACACGGAAACGATACTACAAAAGATAAGAAGGTGATACAGTTTAAAATTTTAGCAAAAATCATACATGAGTTTAACAAAAAGCTTCAAAATGTATTTCGTATTTTGCGTGTAGATATAAATTGTGACATGCAATTTTCCTCTAGAACACGACACAAATTGCCAGTATTTTACACAATAAGAATATATAAATTGTCAGGTCTAGTTTAGAGCACATTTGTTTATATCAAATAGTCTTCTCAAAACTAATGAGAGTAGAAAGAATTGGTTTTCGAATGAGATCCTTTTTGAGATAAGTACTAAGGCATACTTTGTTGAATTTGAGAGTAGAAAGAATTGGTTTTCGAATAAGATCCTTTTTTGAGATAAGAACTAAGACATACTTTGTTGAATTAGGTTTGATTCCAACTTAGAAGGCAAACAATCATCCCGCCTGGTGTAGAATTTTCACTTTGGTGCTTACTAAGCAGTGTGAATTTTAGTTTCTTGTTTGTTTATTGAAGATCTATTGATGAGCAAATCTTACTGTTTTCCCTTTTGATTTGTAGCATAATATGCAATTGTATTAATGGTGGGTTAATTCAAAATGGACTGCTGGATTGATACATTAACAATTGTTGCATGCAGTGAAAAGGAAATGCTTACTGAAATATTTCTGCCTAAGGTGCCTATTATTCTTATTCTTATTTTTCCTTTCAGGTTGTCTTTTGGTACTCAGCACTGTTGGTATTTGTCCTTGGCAGATGGACCCTATCAGTTGACATTATGTTGTAATTATCAAGGTTCAATTTCTGCTACTAGAAAATAATGCTGGCTATTTAATCACTTGTGTTCTTCCGATCAATATGTGGAGTTTTGCATCCAATTGCATTGCTGGAACTCATGGACAGAAAAATGATTCTTTAAAGCAAACTCATGCTGCATCAGAATGTTCAGATGATGAAAATTCTTCCATAGTAAGCAGGGATGAAGGTTTAGAGTGCCCATTATGCTGTGAATCCTTCAACATAGTAGAAAATGTGCCCTATGTTTTATGGTGTGGCCATACCCTTTGTAAAAACTGCATTCTAGGACTTCAATGGGCTGTTGTGAAATTTCCGACTCTATCAATTGAACTTCCTCTTTTTATCTCCTGCCCGTGGTGCAATCTCTTGTCTTTTCGTCTGGTTTGTCAGGGAAATCTCAAGTTCCCCCGGAAAAATTATTTTCTCCTATGGATGGTTGAGAGCATGAATGGTGATAGGCTGAAGTCCCATTCTTCTTTCTGTGAAGATCATCAGCCAGACTGGTCATCAAACAACAATTTAGCCTTGCAAAACCAAGTGACTTGGAGTAACCACAGAAGGGGACAGTATCCTCATCATTCTGAGTCGTCAGGATCAAGCCACAATGATACTCATCTTGCCAGTTACTTCGATTTGGGAAGAATATATTCTTCCTTCCAGAAATCTCTGGTGTTATTTGTACATCTGACAGCCAAGTTCCCACTTGTCATCATATTTCTCTTAATCATCCTATATGCAATTCCTGCCAGTGCAGTCATCTTGGTCCTGTACATACTTATTACTGTTCTGTTTGCTCTCCCTTCATTTCTCATTTTGTACTTTGCATATCCTAGTTTAGACTGGCTTGTGAAAGAGATCATCACTTGAGATGGTATCAGTTTGATTTTCAGCAAGCATAGTGGAATTAAGTTTGCACCTACCTGAAGACCGTTAAATCTCCAATTCGACAACTTTCCAGTGTCCAAATTTATGGCAGTTCTTCCTCAAAGCTTCTAGTATCTTCTTCCCTGATAGGATTTTCCTATTTAAAAACATTTCAGCTTGTGGTGTGATTGTTTTGATTCTTATTTCTGGGATTTGGTCATCTGATGGCAACCAAAATTCCCAGATGAAGTAGGAAGTGCTCTTTATATAACAGAGCTCTTGGTTGGTATACAGTTCAAATAGTTATATACTTGTACTTTGACAGTTCAGACCGTTGTTATTAGATCTACGTTATAGATATATAATTTTTCTGTGCATGCTTGTTCTTCTCCTTTTTGGTTTGGATGAAAGCAATCAGTTATGGATTAACATGTTGTGATAAAAATCATTTGCAGTTTTCTATATTTCCTTCTATGCATCTAAACTGTTTAACCCAATATTCTAATTTTCTTGTGTATGGCTTTAGTATTTTGATATATAGAAATCACATTCTTATATAGCTTGTCTGTTTGAGTGCTGTTGATGTTGCAGAAACTGATTTGTGATTTTGAGCTTTCATTCATATGGATTTGTTTTGAATTTGGATAATTCCTGATCTGGTTTTTCTGGATTGTTCAAGGATTCTGATGTCAATGGATACCTTTTTCGGCAGTGTCACTTTGAACATTGTTGTCACTTCGGATGATGTCTCTTTCACTTCTTTCTACTTTCTCTCAATTTTAAACACTTCTGTAACTTTGAACAAGGTGAAAATTTATCATTAAAAATGATGACAGGAAAAAAAGCTAAAATCTATTTTTTTTTAAATCAATAGACATTTAAAGATAATAAATTATTTGATTGTTTGATTCGAAAATAAATCATAAAAAATTTAACAATATTTTGTAGTTTTAAGAGCATTAGACAAAACATTCTATTCTAATGATTATTTATTGTTCTTCAAACTTCAATGGTGTTTCAGTTTTGTTTTTTTTCTGTCCATTATTTTTCCCATTCTCACAGAATCCAAGTAGACAATCCAGAATCTAACTCCAACTTCCACGTGTCAGAACCATTTCCTGGAATTACTACCTTAGGATCTTGTCCCCCTTCCACTTTCTTGCTGTTATTTTAAGTTAGAACTGCCAAAGTAACTCAACAAATATTCCAACCAAAGCAAATAAAAAATAAAAATAAAAAGAAGAAATGGTGGCATTCATTGCTGTTTCTTCTCCAAAATCGACTGTTTTTCAGAGTCCAATCTCTTTAAGAGATTCCAATTCAAGTTTCCTCGAAGGGTTTTTCTTTACAATTGAAACCAAGAAGTCAGAAAAAAGATAGTAATATTAGCTTGGTGGTTGCTTCGGCTGGAACCACCGCAGCTGGAGGCGATAGTAGTGGCCCTGCCAACAGGTTTTACTTCAACATCATTGGTTTCAATTTCCCTCTTTGTCCTATCCTTAACAGGCGCACTACTAGGACTGAGGTCAGTTTTCTTCATTAATCAATGTTATAGCCTAGTTTGATTTTGAAGTTTAATTGATTGATAATTGACTTTTAGTGATTAGAGAATGATTCTTTCATTCGATTTTATTTTGTTCTTTAGTTTGATTAGTATGGTTGATCAGTTGAACATTGTACTTTTTTTATACCAAGAGGCTGCAAGAGAGAGGAAAAGGTTGGGGGTACTCAAATTAGAATCATTCCTGCTTAATGCCACCCCCAATATATGGAACCAACTAAGCTAAGCTTCGGATTAAGTTGAAAATTGTATTTGCCTTCTGCCTACGGTGCCATTGTTATGCCTACTAGCCAAAGATGTGAAAATTGTTCAACAGTATAACAATTTACATCATAATCATAGAAGAATACAGAGGACAGACATTATTGCATTTTGGATACAAAATCTGTTGTACTTGAAAGTTGTCAATTCCATGTAAAATAGCATAGAACTATTACCACAATTACGGAAAAGGATTAACTTGCTTTTCCAGAACATGTGTCCAACTGCGTTTTTGGTTCTTCCGGATCCAACAATATGCATCTTGAAATTCCCTTATGGTGCACTTTCACCAATGGAAACAATCGGCACATTAGATACTGCACCTCAACTGCAAGCACCAGAGCCTTTTATGCTCAGGGTGAGTATGCCCTGCTATCCAACTAGCTAGCATTAAAAATGGAATTGGCTTCCACTTGTCACCAAAATCTTATCAATTCCTTTCTTCTTGTCTTTTAAGGAATCAATGTGTAGTTAAGCCGGGTTAAACACGGAATGGTTTCGATCTTTGAGTATATAGAAAAGCAAGCATTTTCTAGTACTGATTCTTCATAAGACATTTTAATGTCTTTGTCAGGCTGTGAAAGGCTCTATATGGCTATTGGAACAAGAGCAAGCATTAGGCTTCAGCAGTGTCTCAACAAACATTCGAATGACAGTTATCAAACTCAAATCTGGGGGGCTATGGGTCCATGCACCTATTGCCCCAACCAAAGAGTGCATCAAAGTTCAGTTTTCCTCTCTGATTCTCAATGTTTAGGTATGCATTTGTCTAGTCTATTCTCATAGCACCATTGATTTATTTGGGGGGGGCATATTGAACCTGAAACCTTTCAGGTGAACTTGGCAATTCGTATACTTGAGTTGTATAAAACACTGGCAATTTGTGCAGCGTATCGTGTTTTATACGAAAATTACCGATCATAATTTGCATCAACACGAAAACACAAGATGCATTTTTTTTTTTTTGTTAAACTCATATATCATTTTTACTAAAATTTTAAACTGTCACTTTTGTATCTTTTTTCGTATCGTTTTTATGTCACGGACTTAGCCTATGCTTTTACAACTGGAACAATGTCTAATTGGCATTGATTGACTTCCGTATTTAAGGGGTATCTGGAAACCAGGTTTTTTATTACCCTTTCGTGCTTTTTAATCTAGGTTTTTGACAGCATTTTACTTTAAACTATTTCATTTAAATTACACCATCCGAATTTTTAGGGACTACCTGGTGTTTTATACTTTACTTTATATCTGATATGAAAATGGAAAACCAGTATTAGCCATGCCCGTATGACTGGGAAAAGGCCTTTCAAGATTAAGCAGCTTCAAGGGATTACTGCAGCTCCTTCTCACAAGAGGAACTGACTCTCAAAATGCAAACAAGAAAACCATTGATTTGTTTTTCACTTTTGAACGGTTTATGAGAATCAGTGATTGATTGCTTCATCGTTTTCCTTATCTTTTTATTGCACAAATTCTCTTCCCTGTCTTTGCTCCTCATGAACTATATTTTTGTCACTGGCCTTCTGCAAGTTTTTGTGCCATTTTCTAGAAAATTTCCCAAGGCTCAAGTTTGGGTGGCACCAAGGCAATGGAATTGACCCTTAAATTTACACCTTGCCATTGTTTTGGGACTTAATTTGATACTTGAACTTTAAAAATCTTTAATATGATATCTGTATTATGAATCTGTTATGTAATGTGGTACTTAGAGAATTTTTGTAACCACATTTAGCAAATTCATAGATTAAATATCACATTAAACATTTTATTATAATTCAGGGCTATTCGTGACGTTAATCCATAGCTAAACTATCACTTTCTTACTGCATAAACCAGAAAAAACTTGTGATCATGAGGAAGTGAATCGTTTCATTGGTCAAGTATCCCCCATATTTGTTGTGTATGTTTCCATCTAAGTATGAATTGGAAGTTTAGCTATCTTTCATGCTTCTCACAAATTTCAGGTTAGGGATTGGATTGATGGCATTGCAAGGGACTGGAAATTCAAGAGGACAATTCCTGCCCATTTTGCAGGTCCGATTAAAGCAGGCAGGGCTGAGTTATTAGCTGCATTACATTTCTTGATGACATTTTAGGTAAGCCTACGTTACTCGGCCTTCGCTTTCCCTTCTCTTCACATCACTCATGGGGAAGGCAGCCAGATACTTCTCACCAGATGATATGAATACGTTATCATCCATTGATGAATATTTAGTGTCTGTGGTAGCCGGGAAGAAAACGGTCCCTGCCGGAAACGATGATATGCACCTTTTTAATAAGTAGGAACTTAGATATCTTTCACAAAATTTTCAACATGTTTACAGTTTTTAAAGAGAAAAGTAGAGCTTTAATTACCCTTATTTGAGTCTTTTACAATTAAATTGCAATGAAATGAAGAAAATATGAAGTCAAATAGGAGATGCTCAGACGCATTATTATTTCATAGAATGTTGCATGTGCAAGAAATTTCATCTCTTTAGACCTGGTCCTGGTTTTCTTCATATTTTACTTGACAATGAAGCAAAGAAATCAAAGTTACAAGAACCCTATATGAGGCCTTCTTTCCGTTACAATTTACATGGAAAATATTTCATTCAACCACTCAAAAAGGCACACACAAACAAAAAAAAAAAAAAAAACTTTTAGCCTTAACAAGTTAGAAGATAAGTGAAAATACCTAAAAGATACTCAACCTTATCCAAAGGCAACCTGGATAGACCAAACTGCTGGCCAACCATAAATAATGCAAGGACAAGGAAAAATGGTCACTTACATTTCTTCCATGAGTGATAAGTTCCCAACTTTTTCAACATATATATTTTGCTCATGAAATTGCAGAAGCATCCATGTTTTGGTTTATAGCTACCTGCCTTAAGACCATTTAGCCTACTCTTTTGGGAGTATTCATTCTCCAGGAAATGAGAACAGTTGAAAAAGAAAAATCCAATCCAAATCCAATTCTATTTGGTGTTTCAAATCTCTTTCATTTTACTCCTTTGAACCAAATGATTTCATGTACCATGTCCAATATGAGTGAAATTTTAAGTTTAAACTGACTAGGAATGTACAAATAAAAAACATAATAAACATTTGAATATTTGATTTAATGATTATAATTTATTTTATTATAAAAGAGGAAAAATTATATATATTTCGGACTTAAATTTTAGATTTATTAGTTATTATTTTTTAAAATAGATGTTCGAATTAATTAAGTTAAACTCTAATTTCGATCCTAGCATATTATCTTTATTCAAATAATTATGTTTGAATTATTTCTTTTTCCACTAACAAAAATGATAATATAAAAAAAAAAGTTCAAACTTCAAAGGCTAATATGTAATTTTGACTTTTAAAGTACCCATTACCCAATAATTTTACTTGTTTTTGTTTCAGACAATAATTCATATTTTCAATCCTTTTGATAGTTTCTTCAGAAAATTCCAGTCAAAAGCAAATAAAAAGAAGAAGAAAAAAAAAAAAGGTGGCGACTTTCCTGTGGGACCACTAAGTCTGTTAGATTCATTGGATTTTATGTAATGGTCCAAACTCAAAGTGGTTAAGTAATTTGGACTATCCACTTTAGTGGACCATGAGATGAGGTTTCCATTAGCCAAGACCTATCTGGATATCAAATGTCCCCACCTAAATACCCATTTAAATTGTTTAAACTAGAAAATTAATTTAATTTGTATATATATTATTTTTAAAAGATGATATTTAATATATTTGAGATTTAAATTTAATACTTATAATTTATATTTTTATTTTTAAGTTACGATTTTTTTAAAAAAAAATTACCATTTAATTTTTTTTCACATATATGAGGTAAAAGTAGTGTAAAAAGATGAAAAAAATTATTTCCCACCCATTATTTTTTTTTTTAGTTTAAAATTCAAATTCAAGACCTTTATGATAAGATTTTAAATTATAAAGTTTTTATTTTTTCAAAGAAGATTAAAATTTAAAGAAAATAATTTACTGAGATCGAATTCAAATATTACTAAAATTCACTTCTTAAAAAATAAATGAATTATTTAAGTTAAATTTTAAATTTTATATATTAAATATTTTTACTAATATAATTTGGAGTGTTTCAAAATTAAACCTAACAATTTAAAATATAATACGGTGACATGATATAAAAATAATATAAATAAATGACATAAAGATAATACGATTTAAAATTTTATAAAAATCATAAATATATTTAATAAAATCAAAAAATTATATTTTATATTTTTATGTCGATATAAACTGTAACATATAATTTTATATAAAATATGATATAAATATAATATTTTATATGATACAATGATATGAATTATCGATTCTATTCAAAATTTTGGTTGGATCTAATTCTCTGAACGAAAAATTTTAAAGTTGTGATCTCTAAAAAATAAAGTTGACAATGAAATAGAAAGAAATAGAGATAAACTAGACTTACTCTTATGGGTAAAAGATATTATAAATAATCACTAGAAAACTCTTAAGAAAGAGAATGATAAATTTCATTAATATATAGAAAGAATATGTTTGGATAACAATTGGCAAACTCTTAAAGAAAAAGAAAGATAAATATAATTAATTTAAACTAATTAAACTATAATTGATTTTTTTTATACTTTCCATAATTATTTCTATTGAAACAAATTAGATCCATCAAATATGAATTATAAAACATATAATTTTATATGCTACTAAAAAAAGAATATAATTTATATGAAACAAACTAATGTGGCTTTATCCCAAACTTCAACTTCCTCTAAAAGAATCTTTGAATCAAAGATTCAAATATTCTTTATCCCTTATAAGAAGAGCTCTCACCATGTCATAAATGTTATTTTGACTAGACTTTAAGAATCCAAAAAAAAAAAAAAAAACACAAATTCCACAATGTGATGAAAATCTCTCCGAAACATAAATGTTGTCTTAACAAAACAAAAAAATATCTCAAAGAGTGATAAAGACATCAATCTCTTGTTGAACTAAAAAACAAAGAATTACACCAACAATGTAAGAAAAAAACAAAAGATGACGTTATAGTTTATGTTCAATGAATTTGTAAAAGAAATTTGCATTTTTAATATTAAAGAAAATTTCGGTAAAACAGAAGGATTTAAATAAAAAAGAAAAGGAAAATCTCAATGGAGTTCGAACAATGGAAAAACGAAACGGCCAATGATGAGATGCCACCTAAGCTAAACGTCAATCCACTAAATTCCAAAAAATTCCTTGTTTCCACGTGGCAAACGTGAGTGCTTTCGAATCTTATACTAGTTTGTCATTTGACCTTTTTAGGTTCCGACAAAAAATTTTAAGCAACTAACCGTAAAAACTATGGCGTTAATCTCCATACCCCTAAAGTCTTGTTCCCTTAAATCAGCTCCAATGAATTAACGCCACGTAATAAAATGTGATCCAGAAAAAGATTAACATTTCCTAGGTTACACGTGGAGTGATATAATTAGCCGTTGCTGTAAAACAAAATACCTTGCTGTAGGACTAATTTTTTGGAAATATTTTAATATTTTATTTTCTGTCTTCTACATGGAACCCCCAAAGCTTCTTTCTTTGCTTCCTCATCAGTCTTCTCTCACTACCGTTTCTCTGCAATTTGGTTTCTTTAGGGGGTTTTCTCAGTGAATTTTTTTTTATTTTACCAAAATACCCTTACACAAATGTTAAAACCCAGATTGAATTGCTCATGTAAACCTTTATTTATTTATTTTTGGATTTTTTAAAAATTATTTAGTGGTTCATTTTTTTGGGCTGGTTTTTTAGCACATGCAAGAAAACCCTAATCTTTTTGTTTAATTTTTTTTTTTTTTGTTGTTTGCAGAGTTTGGTCAATCTTTAAAGCCTAAAGACTTTGTAGAGGAAGCTTTTTTCAAGCTAAAGGTGAGGCTTTGGCTTTGATCTTGTAATTTTTTTTGCCCCTTTTTTTTTTTGTTAATTTTGTAATGAGTTCAGTTCTTTTTTTTTTAATTTATAATGTGTTTTATGGATAATTTAGTGAAGAATTGAAGTGGTTTTTTTGGATTAAGCATTTGAGTTGAATTTGTAAAATGGGTTTCTTTTAAAGTGATTTCTTTTGGATCTGATGGGCTTTGATAAGTTAATGGCATGCATTGGTAGAATAAATTAAGTTCTTTTTATTGTTTTTCGTCTAAGAATCTAAGTTAAGTTTCATTGATAAGAAAAAGAAGTTACTAGGAAAAAAGTGAACAAGTTCTTTTACTAAGATGGAAAGATATGTAAAGGTTGTGATTTGTGGGGTTACGAAATGTGGAGCTTTTGAAGTTGAAATGGAATTCTACTCTAATGAAAGTATGACTCTTCATTGCAATCGATTGTCATACATTCATTTCCACTTCTTACATGGTACATTACATTTCTGTGTCTGCCCCCACCCCCCATCCTCCCCCTTCCTTCCCTTTGATAGGGCCTCAAGCTAGCACCTTATGTTAATTTTATGCTATTGGAGCATACAACCGGTTTAGAGTTACACTTGACATGTAATTAAGATGAGAGTTTTAATCTGAGTTCTCTCAAGGTTGTTGCTATGGTATCTTTATCTCTGTCATCCCTTCCACCTCAACTCTTCCTTTGCTCAGAGACAAAAATTAAAGAACTTGTAGTTAAAGAGTGATTTAATCCGCAAATTGCAGATTATAGGGATCATATTTAAAGATCTTCATGTCTTTGGTGGAGAAACCATAATCTGGATTTGAAATTTAGGATTAGGAGCCAGCAGTTTGCCTAATTCCTTGAGTTTCTTGGGAATTTCTTCCTGGGCAGCCTGGCTAGAATATGTCTTAAGGCATGAGTTTGCAATGAAGCCTTTGCTCTTCTTTGCTTTATTTTATTCCAATAAAATAATTTGGACCCTATGCTGTTAGTTTTCAAGTCATTTTGCTGACACCTTTTTTTCTTTTGCTCTTTCCTTTGCTCAGAAAAAGGAAAATGATTTTTGAGCTTCTAAATCATTATTCTTGAGGAATCTTAGCTCTTATTCATCCTTTCAGGATTAAAGCTTATTCTAAGCTTTCTGGTTCGCAAACTGGATATCCAAGATACTAAAATGTTGTGACTAATTATGATGTTTTGCTGGCTTGTACAACCAGGACATATGATCATTGTTTCTTTTGCTCGTATTGAGTGGAGACAATGATTCTAACAAAGCAGTACCGTTGCATACACTCATCTAGTTGTCAATGCATAAAAGGTCATCTCAGTGAAGATGTGATTTTCCTAGTGTTTCAACATCTGAATTGGAATCCTAAGTTGATTGCCTCTCTTTCATGCGTATGTAAATGGTTTGATGATCTTGCCAAAAGAGTACTATGGAAGGAATTCTGTAAAACAAGGGCCCCAAAGATGATGCTTGATCTGCAGTCTAGTGGAAGTCACAGTGTTGATGGGAACTGGAGAGCACTTGGAAAGCTGCTTATTTATTGTTCAGGATGTAGCGGTGGTGGCTTGTTCAATAACATTCAAATCCCTGGCCATTTTGTTCACAGGACCAGGTTCTCTAGGACCTCAGGCAAGAGCTTCCTTTTACCACAATGCAGAACAGATGTTTTATATGTGTCTGACCCTTGTGAACACCTTGACCAAGGGGAGGAGGGCGATGTAGGATTTTTCCGAGGAGTTTTCAAGTCATTCTTTGTTTCAAAGGTTCGGAAGATGTTGATTGACAGGGGTGCCCAGCTTCATCCAACAGCAGTGTGCCCTTATTGTAAGGCAAAGTTGTGGAACATGCTGAAAGCTAAAATGGTACCACAGAGTGCAAGCTGTAGATTGGGAGCTTATGAGGATTGCATTGAGTATTATGTCTGCCTCAATGGACATTTGCTTGGCATCTGCACCCTTTTACCCTTGTCTGATTCTGAAGAGGCATCTGAACCAGAGTGATATTTTGAATGCAAACCAGGTAATCTCTTGCAGCAAGCATACATATATTATCAAAAGACAACGGGGTTAAAACTTTTGGCACAATTGAAAATGATTTGTTTATGGTTCATTCACTCGTTAATTACTTAAACTGAAACCCTTTCTTGGGTGCTGAAATGGAGGGATTTTCATTAATTATTAATGTATATCATTGTTCATACTACCTGCAACATAAGAATGAGAGAGAGAGAATTTGGAGCAAATAAAAAATTTACAGTCTATTTCTAATCTTAGGCAAGAACCATAAAGGCCTTTTCTTTCTCCAGCTAATCATGATATGAAGTTTGATTACTTTCTTAATGTCTTTGTTTCCTTGGTGCAAAATATACATTCTTAGTGAGCTAACTTGGTTGCTAAAATTACATGGCTGAAGACAAAAGTATCCTTCCTAATATAACCATCATGCATATGGTGTAGGGCAATTAAGTTCTGTTGGGTGAGTTCTTTGCTGAAAAAAGCATCTCTGTATGGCTATATCTGACCAGATGTATCTTGTTCTTTGCAGTTTGTTCATCGTCTCATGTGGATTTATCTCCTGTTAGATCAGATATAGATAGGGTTGAGACAAGATGGGCTGTACCAACTTTGTCTCAGGACCTGAAATCAAACATCATAACTTGGCCTCTTCTCTCTGGTGTTTTGCTGCTTTGTCTAGCCCTCACGAAGTGATTTCTAGAAGGGTTAGAAGCTATTGTTAACCATTTGCTTTTCTTTTTTTGGTACTTGAGGTTGCCAGGATTCTAGTCCTAGTTACAGAACTAAGAGTCCAACAACATCCATTGGATAACAGTGGTTGTTGTGAACATGTAATACAGTGTACTTTGTACATTTATGTATGGCTCATATGTGTTTGAATAGCTGATTGTTATCTTCAGTAATTCATGAAGTTGTTTAGGTAATTCATTCATTTCTTTGTTAACTTGCTTTTCAAAAGAAATTCATCTTCGAATCCAATTTGCTCAGCAGTTCATTGTCCCAGTTACATTTATTCATTATGTTGTGCATTCTCTTTTGCCTAAATGCTAGTTGTATTCAAGTTAATTTCAAATTGACTCATTAAGATCTCCTATGAAACTTGTGTTTACTTGATCACCTGTGCTATAATTGGGATAAAACTATATATAGGCATGGTTACTGCCAACGGTCATTGGTATCATTTCAGAATAGTCATGATTACCCATGTAAATACCATCAATTTTCTATACTGTCCTCATTCTCTGGGAGTAAATACCCATCGATCTTACCTCAACCTTTGATAATCTGTCGGCTGCTTGTAGTTTACATGAAGCACTAGTTTACCTCTTGTAGTTTACTACACCCTGCTTCATTTCAACTCTTCTTCTGAAAAAAAAATAATAATAAAGGGTCAGTATCTCTGTTTCAGCTTGACTAGTTCAAAACTGGAACTGGGTCTTCTCTACTTGCTTCATTAAGTCTCAAATTTCAAAATTTTCTATGGGTTATGCCAAAGTTATATACTTTCTTGAAAGAATTGATAAGGGTCTATTGCTTAGTAGTTCTGCTCAAAGTTTATCTTATACTATTAGTTCATGCATGCTCTTAAAGTTGGGCCTTCTGCTCAAAAAGTTTGAATGTTGAATAAAGTTTTTATCATTTGGTCTGTTTAGTTTATTAGTTATGAGCGAAGTGTTGAGGAATTCAGCTTCATTTGCCATAATATCAAATGGGTTTGGATTCCGGTATCAATCTTGTAGCCAAAGTAGAGGTAGAAATAGTGTCTGCTATAGGTGTTTTTGTGGCTTCTTTTATGGTGGTTTGGATTTGGCTATGAAGACTTATAGAATGCATGGAGTAAAATGTAGGTCAAACATGGTTTCAATGCCAGTTCATCAATATGTTTGGTTTGCTCGTTTACCAATGAAAATGTCAAGGATGAATTTGCAATTCGATTCACTTGGATAGATAATAGGTTAATGTACAGAAGATGGTTGCTAGTATTGAATCTGGGATGGTTTGTGAAAATGATTGATGAAAATAGTTTGATTCAAAAAGGCAAAGAAGAATTTGGGTCGGATTATTTGGATCAAAATTTGCCTCCTTGGGGTAATTTGGTGGTTGATCAAAGTTTGGTTTTTGGAGGAAAGGAATGAGGAGGAATTATCAAGAAGAATATTGATGCTTCGTAGGTCCAACAAGGTTAGAAGTGCATTGGAGTTGTGTAGCTCAATGAAGTTGTCAGGTCTTCAACCCGATGCTCATGCATGTAATTCTCTTCTCTGTCGCCTGCTAAGAAATGGGCTGCTTCATGATGCCGTGAGAACTTTTGAGTTTACGAAGACAAATGAAATTATTACAGGGCATACTTATAGCTTACTGAAAGCCGTTGCAGATACTCAGGGTTGTAATGCAGCCCTTGATATGTTTGTGGAATTGGAAGGAGATTCTGAACAGGAAAAAGTTTTTGATCTGATTGTTTATAATACGGCAATATGTATTTGTGGAAGAGTGAATAACTGGATTGAAACTGATAGGCTATGGAGAAGAATCCAGGAAAATGGCTATATTGGAATACAGGTCACTTATTCCCTGCTAGTTAGCATTTTTGTTCGTTGCAATCAGAATGAATCCGCTCTTGATGCTTGTAATGAGATTATTCAAAATGGAATGAAATCCCAGGATGATACAATGCATGCCATGATTAGTGCATGCACAAAGGAAGAAAAATGGGATTTTGAATTATCTATTGAATGATGGATTGAAGCAAAATCCATTAGCATGCAATGCGTTAATTAATTCACTTAGAAAAGCTGGAGAAGTCAAATTAGCTTTTAAAATCCATGGTGTTATGAAATCTTTGGGTCATACACCAGATGCTTTCACGTAACTTGGTGCTTTGTATAGGGCAAAAAAACATGTTGATGCTCTTCACCTCTTTGAGAGAATAAGAGAAGAGAGCTCACTGGAACACTGTACAACACTGCTTTAATGTCATGCCAGAAGCTTGGTATGGGATAGGGCCTTGCAGCTTTTATGGCGAATGGAAGCCTCAGGATTGTCGGTTTCAACTGCATCATGTAATCTTCTCGTTGTTGCTTGTGAGACTGCCAGGAAACCAGAAGTTGCATTGCAAATTTAAGACCACATAATTCATCGAAAGTGTGTTCTGGACACATTTCCTCATTTGTCACTAATAAGAAGCTGCATTTGGGGATCTCTGGGCTTAAATGGAGGAAATTTTAGATGTAAGTTTACATTTTCAAACATGCTACACTAATATGCTCTAAAAAATGTTTTGTTGTTTAAATCAATTTAGCTTATCTTCGTTGAGCTACCTCTTCAAGGATATTTGACAATTTTTTTTTTTTTTTGCTCCCATGAATTTCTAAGGATTGGCATTTAACAATTCTATTGTCTTTTGTCATTTAAAGAGAGTTTCACCAAATGTATCCCTTTATAATGCTGTTATTCATGGATTGTGTTCAAGAGGTAAGGTTGAATCAGCAAAGCTGTACTTGACAATGCAAAAGAATGGTCTCAAACCTGATAGCAAAACAACAGCATTGATGCTTCAGTACTTCACAAAAAAGATCAATTTAAACTGAAGTGGTTGTCCTACCATCGTAGATGATTAACGACAGAGCGAAGAGAACAGGATCTGAACATAGAGTAGTATTCAGATGTCTCCTTCTGTAAGCACATGTGCCTGTGTAGCTGCGCCTTGTTTGTATGAATGTACATGTATAGCAGAAAGTGATGGTTTGGTTTATAATTTCACAAAGTAATAGGTTTATATATCTTTACAAATGATGTGTTTGCTATAGATATATGCAAAATTCTTATTCTATCGTTCTCTCATTAATTATTAATCATCTCAATGAAAATGAACTCTTTTGTTGCTAAATATATAAGTCTTAAGACCATGCCAACCAAAGACAATCACCTTACATTGAAGGGCATAAATATATATATATATATATATATGTATATATGTATGTATGTATGTATATAAACAACAGCTATGCTTTTATTGATATTCAATTTTGTGGAACTACAGCCCGAAGATCAAACAGGATCTTATGGTGCAGGAAATAGGATTTATGATGGATATTACCGCTTTGTTCATATCACTCAAATCTTAAATCTTTAATAATACCAAGTAAACTTGGTAATTCACATGTTGGTGACATATTTGTTTTATGTCACACATGTATAAGATAAAAAATTATTGTCCAGCATGTCAATACAAAAATATATGTACACTTTTTATTTCTAACAAATCCATAAATGAATTTTATCAAAATTTTAAACCGTATTACTATTACATCTTTTTTTATATCGTATCATGTCTATAATTACCGAATCTAATGCCTAGTCATATCAGTTTCCAAACAAAAGGAATGACATTTCAATTTTTAATTCCAACTCCTGCCTTAAACTGTATGCCAAATAAGCCAGATGCAGATGCAATACCAGTAACCCAGTGGAAACTGGATGAGCTGCAGAGAATATCATAATGTTCCGGGGCACCATTTTCTCTGAGATAGTATTTTCCATCTTGGAACAAAGACATTTGAGCCAGAACGGATTTAGGTAGCAAAGGAAACATGAGCCATGATTACTTTTTCAGCGACACATTACAATCATCAGTAAAAGAATATATAGGATTTAACTTGTGAGTTGTAACTTAAAAGAGAAGTTATATACAATATGAGAGATTCAAAAGAGGGCTAAGATATCAAAATTGTGTAAAACCTATATAGTATTTAGGTAAAACTTTAAGTACAACTCTCAGACAGTCTGTGAAAAAGCTTCTTGACTACCTGTTGCTTGAGTATCCGAATCACTGTCGAGCCTCCTGAAGACTAACTTTTGCTGTGGGAGCTGGCCATTTGCAAATGCTGTTAGCTTTGTGTCTATTAAGATGGAATCCTCATCCTTGAACTCTCCTCTCAAGATGCCCTTGGCAAGTTCATTTTCCACATTCTGCTGAATCACCCTTTTGACTGGCCTAGCACCGTAGCTCGGATCATAACCCAGATATCCGAGAAGCCGAACAGCAGAGTCTGTCACCTGAAGTTTTATTTTCCTATCCGCAATCCTCTTTTGCACACGCTCCAGCTGTACAAAAAAAACAGACAAAAGGTTAAGGAGCAACAAAATATTCGAGGCAGCTACCAAAGAGAAATGATACAAGCTTGACATCTAGATTAGGACTAGTATTTCTCTATTGGAACAGAAATAGAGATCTATAATGTAAGTCCTATCTAAAGACTGTTTATTGACCATTTAAAAGAAAATAAATGAAAAGCACTTCCGGTGGCTTGCTAAATCGAATGTAGTCTAGAGAAGAAACCCAAACCAAGCAATATCAGATTCAAGGCTGACATGGTTGAGAATTCAGAATCTCTCTTTCCTTTATAATAAAATCCACATCATGAAAATGCACATACAAACAATTACACCACAAAGAACTTACCTGTAATCTCACAATACTGTTTATTTGTTCACGGTCCAAAGGCTGGAACACTATATACTCATCAACACGATTCATGAACTCAGGTCGAAAGACTGCTCTTGCAGCCTCCATCACCCTCTGCTTAATAGTTTCATAAGCTATGTCTTTTGGTGTGTCTTCATCCGAGTTAAGAATGTACTGTGAACCTACATTTGAAGTCATAATGATGACAGTGTTGGTAAAGCTCACCGTACGACCCTGTGAATCAGTGACTCTCCCATCATCCAAAATTTGAAGGAAAACATTAAATACATCAGCATGAGCTTTCTCTATCTCATCAAAAAGAATTACAGCATAGGGCCTGCGGCGAACTGTCTCTGTAAGTTGTCCTCCTTCTTCATACCCCACATAACCAGGTGGAGCACCTATAAGTCTTGAAACAGCATGTTTTTCCATATACTCACTCATATCAATGCGAACAAGTGCTTCTTCTGTATTAAACAGGTAGGATGCAAGGGCCTTAGCAAGTTCTGTTTTCCCTACACCAGTGGGACCCATAAACATGAAACTGGCAATCGGACGACGGGGATCTGAGAGACCAGCTCGAGATCGCTGAATAGCCTCAGCTACAGATCTAACTGCAGGATCTTGACCCACAACACGTTTATGCAACTCTTCCTCCAAATGTAATAATTTCTCCCTCTCCGATTGTTGAAGCTTGGAAACTGGTATGCCAGTCCATTTACTAACTACTTCAGCAATATCATTTCCAGTAACTTCTTCTCTCAGCATTGATTTTCCAGATTTCATATACTCATCTAATTCTTTTTCTGCATCACCAAGTTGACG